ATGGCATGATCTTGGCTCACTGCAACCTCCGCCTCCTAGGTTCAAGCAATTCTCCTGACTCAGCCTCCTGGGTAGCTGGGATTACAGGTGTGTGCCACCATGCCTGGCTAATTTTTTAATATTATTTGTAGAGATGGGGTTTCACCTTGCTGGCTAGGCTGGTCGTGAACTCCTGACCTCAGGTGATCTGCCCCCATTGGCCTCCCAAAGTGCTGGGATTAGAGGCGTGAGCCACTGCTCCCTACCTTAAGAATGAGATTTTAATTGAGTCTATTTTGATTGCCCTCTCATCAGTGGTACTAATTGTATAGTGAGGGTCAAGAAAAAGATTCCATATGGTTGTAACTTTAATGAGTAAATTTTCCTGGGAAAGAACATTCTTTTTATAGAAATGATTCTAAATCTGGTAAAGTTGTGCTGCTTTGGTTTATAGCTCTGTGGTATACCTATTTGGTATGTGAGGATAGGGAACATGTTTGGCACATCCTGGGTACTTAAGTATGTATATAAGAATAAGGGCCAGATGCAGAGGCTTACGCTTCTAATTCTTGTACTTTGGGAGTCTGAGGCAGGAGGATCACTTGAGCCCAGGAGTTTGAGACTAGTCTGGGCAACATAGTGAGACCTTGTCTGTACAAAAATAATAATAGTAATATAATAATAATAATAAATTAGCTGAGCAAGCTGGCGTGTGCCTGTGATCCCAGCTACTCAGGTGGCTGAGGTGGGATAATTGCTTGAGTGTAAGCAGTTGACGCTATAGGGAGCCGTGATTGTGCCACTGCACTCCAGTGATAGAGTGAGACCTCGTCTGGGGAAAAAAAAAAGCCTTTGTTTGTCTAGGCTTTGTATGATATGTAGGGCCTTACAAAATTTAAGCTGTGTAGGTTGGGTAGGCTGTTTTGTTTTCTGCCTGTTGTTACAAATTCTACCCTTTTACCCTCAAACCTGCCTGGGTGCTTAAGGCAGTCACAGGCTTTCTGCTCATCTCACACTGTTTCCTCTATCTTTTTTTTTTTTTTTTTTTTGAGACGGAGTTTCGCTCTTGTTACCCAGGCTGGAGTGCAATGGCGCGATCTCGGCTCACCGCAACCTCCGCCTCCTGGGTTCAGGCAATTCTCCTGCCTCAGCCTCCTGAGTAGCTGGGATTACAGGCACGCGCCACCATGCCCAGCTAATTTTTTGTAGTTTTAGTAGAGACGGGGTTTCACCATGTCGACCAGGATGGTCTCGATCTCTTGACCTCGTGATCCACCTGTCTCGGCCTCCCAAAGTGCTGGGATTACAGGTGTGAGCCACCGCGCCCGGCTGTTTCCTCTATCTTTAGGTCTAGGCACACTACTAATTTGTAGGGTATAATCACAGAAACGTGTTCCAATTAAAGTTTTATCTAGACTTGAAGATATAAGCCTTTTGGTCAACATCCATGGAGTAGAAAGCTTTGTCCATTTGTTCAGTATGGGAAGTGGGAGCAGAGGGGAGGAAGTCTTTGTGCAGCAGGTGGGAAGCCAATTTTTGGATCAAAGGATTTCCGTATAATACTAAAGTTTGTGACTCTTAGGCCACAGAGAGAATCAGGATCATCTGTGGAAATTCCCACTTCCTTAATTTTTTATTTTGAAATTTTTGAATCTACAGAAAAATGGAAAGAATGGTACAGTGAACACCCATGTAAACTTTACCTAGATGGATTAATTTGTACATTTGGCCATATTTTTTTTTCTGTGTATATATATGTATTTTTTCCTGAAGCATTTCAGAGGAAGTCACAGACTAATTACTATGTCTCATATTTAAGTATTTCTCCTAAGATGGACACTCTCCTAAACAGCTGCAATATATTATCAGATCTAAGATGTTTAGCATTATTATTATTATTATATATATATATTTTGAGATGGAGTCTCACTCTGTTGCCCAGGCTGGAGTTCAGTGGTGCAGCCTCAGCTCACTGCAACCTCCACTTTCTGGGTTCAAGTGATTATCCTGTCTTAGCCTCCCAAGTAGCTGGGATTACAGGTGGGTACCACTACACCTGGCTAATTTTTGTATTTTCAGTAGAGACAGGGTTTCACCATATTGGCCAGGCTAGACTTGAACTCCTGACCTCAAGTGATCCACCTACCTCAGCCTCTCAAAATGTTGAGATTACAGGTGTGAGCCACTGTGCCTGGCCACATCATTTTAATAATAGCGTCTAATAATTTAAAGACCATATTCAGATTTTCCTACTTGGTCCCAACATGTCTATTAAAGCCTCACCTGCTTCCCTTTTAACCTCTGGAACCTAAAACAAACAAACAAAAACAGGTGAGCATACCCTACTAGAGATTTTGATCCAGATGTCTGGAGTTAGTCACAGGCTTCTGTATTTTCCTTTCTTTTCTTCTCTTGTCTTTTCGTTTCATTTCTTTTCTCTTTCTCTTTTCTTTTCCTTTCCTTTTTGTCTTGACTCCCCTTCCCCTTCCCCTTCCCCTTCCTTCCCCTCTCCTCTCCTCTCTTCTTTTTCTTTTCTTTTGAGACAGGGTCTCCCTCTGTTGCCCAGTCTGGAGTGCAGTGTCATGATCTCAGCTCAACTGCACCCTCTGCCTTCTGGGTTCAGGTAATTCTCATGGCTCCTGTGTAGTTGGAATTACAGGCATGTGCCACCTTGCCTGGCTATTTTTTGTCTTTTCAGTAGGGATGACGTTTTGCCATGTTGGCCAGCCTGGTCTCAAACTGCTGACTTCAAGTGATCTGCCTGCCTTGGCTTCCCTGAGTGCTGGGGCTACAGACATGAGCCACCACGCTTGGCCTGTATTTTCTTTAAAGTGTTATCCTGATTCTAACATGTACCTCTTTGAGAACTACTGCCACCCTGATACAGCTGAATGTTTCATTTTAAAGTGGTATGTTGCAGAAGGGATTCCTGGACTGAGGTTCCTGGAACCTAGGCCAAGTGAACTAGAATATTCCTGAATTATTATTATTATTTTAAATTAACAGTTTATTGAGATATAATTCACCCACTTAAAGTATATAGTCAGTGGTTTTGGTGTGTTTCACAGACAGGTGCAACCATCACAGTAATCAATTTAACAGCATTTTCATTACTTTAGAAACTGTTCTCTTTAGCTATCACCTCCTCATTGCTCCATCCTCCTGCCCCCAGCACTAGGCAACCACTAATCTACTTTCCACCTCTAAAGGTTTGCCTATTCTGTATTTTTTATATAAATCGAATCAAATATGTGGCTTTTTGTGGCTGCTTCTTTTACTTAGTCTAATGTCATCAAGATTCATCCAGTTGCAGTATGTGTTCCTATTTATTGCGGAACAGTATTCTGTTGTATGTATATATTATATTTTGTTTATCTGTTCATCAGTTAATTCATTTGTTTCATTCTTTACCAACTTCATTTTTTTTTTCATTTTTGAGACGGCGTCTCACTCTGTTGCCAGGCTGGAGTGCAGTGGCAGGATCTCAGCTCACTGCAACCTCCGACTCCCTGGTTCAAGTGATTCCCCTGCTTCTGCCTCCCGAGTAGCTGGGATTACACGCATGCACCACCACACACAGCTGAATTTTGTATTTTTGGTAGAGACGGGGTTTCACCATGTTGGCCAGGATGGTCTTGATCTCCTGACCTTGTGATCCACCTGCCTTGGCCTCCCATAGTGTTAGTTACGGTCGTGAGCCACTGCACCCGGCCTTCACCTTCATTTTCTTTTTTTTTTTTTTGGACGGAGTTTCGCTCTTGTTACCCAGGCTGGAGTGCAATGGCTCAATCTCGGCTCACCGCAACCTCCGCCTCCTGGGTTCAGGCAATTCTCCTGCCTCAGCCTCCTGAGTAGCTGGGATTACAGGCACGCGCCACCATGCCCAGCTAATTTTTTGTAGTTTTAGTAGAGACGGGGTTTCACCACGTTGACCAGGATGGTCTCGATCTCTTGACCTCGTGATCCACCCGCCTCGGCCTCCCAAAGTGCTGGGGTTACAGGCTTGAGCCACCGCACCCGGCCTTCCACCTTCATTTTCTAATGTCTATTGAGAGGATTTATCTGAGTGCTTATTTTTCCCATATTTGTAGAAATTATGATCCTAATTAGTGATTACCAGGGCATGTTCTAAAAAGGATCATACAATCATATCATTATATGTTCCTAGGGATGGAGAAGAACTTACGTGGCATCTTGTTCAAGATGAGTTATTATTATTAAAAAAAAAAATTATATAGAGTGAAAATCTGTTTTTGTTTTCTATTGTGCTTTTTTTTTCTTTATTTTATTTATTTATTTATTTATTTTTTTGTGTGCTTTTTTTTCCTATTTATTTACCTACTGTAACTTCAAGCTGGTTCTTCTCTTTCCATTCTCCTGCCCAGAGATTTTCAGTTGGATATTTTATGTTAGGTGGCACATTTGCTAGTTGATATTGAATGCCTGTTTCTGCTTTGACCACCCGTACTGGAATAAACCTCAGTGTTTATCTTGCTGTGACATTTCTTAAAAATCTTAACTAGAATGTATTCTCTTTGGAGTAATGG